CATCTTATGCAATTCAATGTTTTTGACCGTTTCATTTAAAGATATAGTATAAAAAATGTTACAATATTCTACACAAATTCCAAATATAAAGCCCAATATTATGCTATGCTTTTTGTTAGCATATGGGCTCAATACAGGGCCATTAATATTAAGGAGCATGGAAACAATCGTAGTCCTTACGACAGAGGATCAAATCTACCAAATATTCCCTTTACGAATAAAATCCAACACTAGCCCTTTTTCGTCGTCTTCGACCTCGCGGGAATCTACTGTCGCTCACACTATCCTCCTTTCCCTTGACCGGCAGCTGATTTCCGGGTCCTCAGTATCGGGTCAGATCTAGATCCGAATCCGGATCCGGATACGTTGAGTATGAAGCACTTCAGAACTGAGCGAATCCGTGCGACTCCGAAGCTCCTCACCTACGTTCTCGTCGGTGTCATCGCTCTACTCGGCTTGACTTGCCTCTACTACGGCTCGTCCTTCGCTCCCGGATCCAGAAAGTCCGACGAGTTCGATGGATCTAACGGTGACGCTCCCACCGGATTCGTGAAGAATCGAGATGACGTTGTGCTTAGAGTGAGCCGTTTCGAAGTTCCTAAAAGTGTTCCGGTTCGTGTACAAGCATTAATCGAGTAGAATTTTCCAGATTTTTGTAGTGTTTCAGTGAAAGTTTTGTGTAAATTTTTGATCCTACGTAGTGGATGAATGTCGTGATCTTTGTTGATTTAGTGAGTTTCGTGGAGTTGATGTTTCTCTTGTAGTAGTTCATGCTCATTGCTCTCTCTCTCTCTCGTTATGATCCTATTTGATGTTATGCGCAGATATGTGATTCGAGGCACTCGGAGTTGATACCGTGCTTGGACCGAAATCTTCATTATCAGTTGAAGCTGAAACTCAATTTAACCTTAATGGAGCACTATGAGCGTCATTGTCCTCCACCAGAACGGCGTTTTAATTGCCTTGTTCCGCCTCCATTTGGTTATAAGGTCCGATTTCAGTTTCTTTCTCTTGTATTATGAAATTTTGAGTATTCTTGCTTGCGTTATGGCTATGGTGTTAAGTGTTAGTGGTTGATGATAATGTTGTTGATGGAGTTATCAGATCCCTTTAAAGTGGCCTGTGAGTAGAGATGAGGTGTGGAAGGTGAATATCCCGCACACACACCTTGCGCAAGAGAAATCTGATCAGAATTGGATGGTTGTAAACGGTGATAAGATCAATTTTCCAGGCGGAGGAACACATTTCCACAACGGAGC